GAAATTAAACCACACCATTTTGAACAACCAATGGGTCACAGAGGAAATTAAAGGTGAAAGTAAATATTACATACAATTAAACAATAATGCTAATATAACACACCAAAACTTATGGGATATAATGAAAGCAGTCCTATGAGGGAAATTTATAGCAATGAACTCACACATCAGGAAAACAGAATGAGCTCAAATAAACAGCCTAAAGTATAACTTCTAGAAAAAGAAGATCAGATCCAACCCAAAGCTCATATGAGGGAGGAAATTATAAAGATAAAAGCAGAAATTAATGCAACTGACACTAAGAAAACAACCTAAAGAATCAATGAATTAAAAGGTTGTTTTTTGAAAGAATTAATAAAATAGATAAACCATTAGCCAACCTCATCAAAAAGAGGAAAGGAAAAAACAAATTCAAGCAATTAGGAATGATAAGGCAGAAATCACATCAGAGCCTACAGAAATTCAGAAGATCATCAATACCTACTATGAGAACTATATTCTAACAAGAAGAAAAACACAGAAGAAATGGACAAATTCCTAGAAACAATCCAATTGCCAAAACTAAATCAAGAATATATAATAATTCTAAATAACCTGATATCAGCCAATGAAATTGAAAATGTAATTAAAAATGTACTAACAAAGAAAAGCCCAGGCCCTGACAAATTTACTCTTGAATTTTACAAGAAATATAGAGAGGAACTAATACCACTAGTACTGAAACTCTTTAAGAAAATTGAAAGGGAAGAAGTACTTCCAAAATCATTCCTGGAAGCAAGTATTACCCTGCTTCCAAAACCAGAGAAGAACTCAACCAAGAAAGAAAACTACAGGCCAATCTCTCTAATGAGTATGGATGCAAAAATCCTTAACAAGATACAGGCAAACAGAATGCAGCAAATCATCAAGAAGATTATACATCATGACCAAGCAGGATTTATATCAGGGATGCAAGAATACTTCAACATATACAAATCAATAAAAGTAATATATCCTACTTACAGAACCAAAGACAAAAAGCACATGATCATCAGAATAGAAGCAGAAAGAACATTTCACAAAGTCCAACACCCATTCATGATTTAAGTAAATCCTCCAGAAAACTGGGATAGATAGTCTTTATCTCAATCTATAAAAGCCATCTGTGACAAACCAACAGCTGATATCATATTAATGGTCAAAAACCTTTCACTCTAAAATTAGGAACAAGACAAGGATGTCCATTATCACCACTTCTATTCAATATAGTCCTGGAAACATTAGCCAGAGCAATTAGACAAGATAGAGAAATAAAAGGAATAAAGATAGGAAAGGAAGAAGTGAAATTATCATTATTTGCAGATGACTTGATACTCTACATAGAAGACACAAAAAACTCCACCAAAAGACTTCTAGGTTTAATATCCAATTCAATAGTGCAGTGGGACACAAAGTCATCACTCAAAAGTCAACAGCGTTCCTGTACACAAGCAACAAACTCATGGAGAGAGAGAAATTTGGGAAAACACACCCTTTATGAAAACATCCAAAAAAATGAAATACTTAGAAATCAGTCTAACAAAGGATGTAAAAGATCTGTACAGTGAAAACTGCACTATCCTTTAAAAGGAGATTTAAGAGGATATCAGAAAATGGAAAAATATCCCTTGCTGTTGGATAGGAAGAACAAACCATGAAAATGGCCCTACTCTCAAAATTTCTACACAGATTTAATGCAATCCCAATCAAAATACCATTTACATGCCTCACCGATCTAGAGAAAACATTTCTAAAATTCACTTGGAACCAGAAAAGAGCTAAAACAGCAAAAGCAATTCTGGACAACAAAGGCAAGTCAGAGGGCATCACAATCTCAGACCTGAAATTATACTACAAAACTACTCTGATAAAATCAGCATGGTATTGGCAAAAAAACAGGCCTGAGGATCAGTGGAACAAAATAGAAGATTAGAAGCATCCTCAAACACACTCAGCCACCTTATCTTTGACAAAGGAGCCAAACATGTCCCCTGGAAGAAAGATAGTCTCTTTAATAAATGGTGCTGGAAAAACTGGCTTTCCACATGCTGAAGACTAAAACTAGACCCACATCTCTCACTATGCACTAAACTAAAGTAAAAATGGATCAAAGGTCTAAATATTAAAATAGAAACACTACATTTACTGGAAGAAAACAGACAGAAATCTCAAAGACATAGGTGTAGGCAGAGACTTCATGAACAAAACTGCAAAGGAAATAGTACAAAGAATCAACAAATGGTATCTTCATTAAAAAGCTTTTGAACAACAACAAAAATCAACATAGTGAAAAGGCAACTCACAGTGTGGGAAAAAATGGTCCCACAGACAAAGGACTTCTATCTAGAACATACAAAGAACAGAAAAAAAATCAGACCCCTCTAATTCAAAGATTCAATCCCAAAATGGACATCTAAGATGAATATGCATTTCTCAGATGAAAAAATACAAATGGCAAATAAATACATGAAAAAATGTTCAGCATCATTGGTCATTCAAGAGATGCAAATTAAAACAACACTGAGATTCCATCTTACCCCAGAAAGAATGGCTATCATCAAGAAATCAGTCCCAATAACAAATACTGGTGGGGCTGTTGGTGGAAGTGTAGAGCGTTACAACCACTGTGGAAATCAATGTTCAGTGTCCTCAAAAAACTAGAATGAGAGGTCCCATTCAAACCAGCTATTCTCCTTCTGGGTATCTTCCCAAAAAAATTCAAAACATCATATCACAGCTATATATGTTCACCCATGTTTACAGCAGCACAATTTATAATAGCTAAATCTTGGAAACAACCCAGATATCCAGCAAATGAGGAATGGATAAAAAAGATGTGGTTTTTTATATAGTGGAGTACTACTCAACCATAAAGAAGGATAAACTGGAAAATTTTATAGGTTAATGGATGCAATTTGAGACCATACTCATAAGTGAAATAAATGAGACTCATATGTGTAAACATCATACTGTCTCACTAGTGTGAGAAACTGAACAAGTAAATAAGATCCAAGATGTACAATAGATATTGTGAATTGGGAAGTAACTGTTCAAAAGAAAAGACAAACTGTGACAGGGGAAAGGAAGAAAAGGAAAAAGAAAAAATATATGTACACACAAGACAGTTGAAATAGTTATACAGCTAGTTTCTCTCAATTCACTGAAAAGAAAATTTTGTGCTAATATCATTTGGACAAGAAATCATGCCTATATCTTGTACCTGAATAACTATGACAAATACAATATGTAGTATATTAACTATTGTAACTGTCCTACTAACCTATTCTGAAACTTGGTTTCACTGTTGTATTTATCTTCTCTTTAAAATTAAGAAAAAGACTTGAGAGTTTATCCAGACAGAAACTACTGTACTTTTATCAATACACGGAGAATCTTAAAGCATGTAAAGAACCATAATATTAAATAATAAAGAAAAGCCAGGCATGGTGGCACACACCTGTAATCCCAGCACTAGGGAGGCTGAAGCAGGAGGATCCTTGAGAGTTCAAGACCAGCCTGGGCTACAAAGTGAGCTCAAGGCCAGCCTGAACTGCATAGCAAGACCCTGTCTCAAAAAGACCAAAAAAATTAAATAAAGAAAGAAAGACCTGAACAGCATGAACAACAATCAATTTCTGTTCATGAAAGCCTTTGTTTGCAAATAATTTGGTTCACAAACAAAAGCATTTGGCAAAATTTTTGTCTTTGTTTGCAAACTCTGCATTGGATGACAAACATGACTGTGGTCATCTTTCCCACACAAACACATACATGGCCATCTTTTCCAAAATCATAAGACAATTTAAGTCTGCAAACCAAGGTGAGCATATACACACACACAAAGAAAACATCACATCACAGACATACACATGGGTAACTACCTCGAAGGTAATATGAATCAAGAAATGGAATGTAGAACAATGATCAATTCTGGGTAAATAACAGAGTTCTATGCATGTGCATGTCATAAAGCTTCTAGTGAAAATGTCCACTGGTAGATGAGAATAAAAATTGGGACCTGGAGAAAGTCAAAACTGTATTGATGTGGAGGTCAGTGGCATATAGGGGAAGACTGAAATAACAAGCCAGTTAGGGAGACACCAACAAAACTAATAGTCCAAGGCTGAAAACCTAGACAATGCCATATATCATGATAAAAGAGAGATCCTGAAAAGATTTGCTACTGACCCTCTTTGGGACCTTAACAAGTTGAAATTCTACATTTTTCAGTCTTTAACACAATAATAAGACTGCTATTCATTGCTGGCTTCTCATAAGAATAAATAAGATCATGGATGCAAAATTTGTTGATAAGCTCTGAAATGACAAGGAAGGAAAAGAGATTATTAAAGAGTGATTTGATAAGCAAATTCTCACTCATTCTTAAGGGGACAACTTCTAGGCCCCCTGATATAACTGAGCTCTCACACAAATTGAAATTAAACTGTTATAACAAAAAGAGGTGAAAGTTCATTTTAGGCTAAGGTCAGGTTTTTTTAAACAACACAATTTAAACATTAAAATAAAGAAGTACAAAAATGGTTAAGATACAGAATGATGGAAACACTCAGAAAAGGGTATTTTATTTAACAGTTAATTGTAGTTTAGACTAAGGAATAGGAAAGTGATATTTGGGAATTAGTATTGGCATGACAGGACAGAATATCAATTAGAGGTGATTTTATAAGATAGTATATAATAATTAAGTGGTTTAACATATACAGGCAGATTCCAGCAAAATTTTTCACATTAAGATTGTTCAGGGTCACCTAAAATTAAGAAATAGAATAACTTCCCTAGCATGTCACTGAGAACTCCTTTCTATATCAACTATACATCTTCACTTCAGTTTTTTACTTACTGGACATTTGTGTAATATTCTGCTTGCATAGAAACTTTCCTGGTGGGGTTAAAGGGCAAGAATAATATTTAGAAGTCAATATATCTACTGAAAAATTATAGAATAATTTCAAACATTACTATCATGGACAAAAGAAAATTTTCTTACAAATGATTCTTCTCAGGGCTTCCTTCATGTCTCTGTTCCTCAAGCTATAGATGAAGGGGTTCAGCATGGGAGTCACCACCATATACATGAGAGCCATGACTGTCTCCTTCACAGTGGTATTATCAGTGGATGGACACAAGTAGAGACCAATGACTGTACCATAGAACAGCGACACCACAGAGAGGTGGGAACCACAGGTGGAGAAAGCTTTATGGATATGTTGAGTGGAAGGGACCTTGAGAATAGAGGACACAATTCGAGCATAGGAAATAATAATTAGTAGAAATGGAATGACAAGAATGATGCCTCCCATGACAAATATCACCAGTTCATTAATACTAGTGTCAGAGCAGGCCAGCTTCAGCAGGGCAGACATGTCACAGAAGAAGTGGGGGATGACGTTGTCTCCACAGAAAGACAATCTGACCATCAGCAGGGTGTGCAACAGGGCATGGAACGTGGTCAGCACCCAGGACAGCGCCACCACGCACACGCAAAGCTTGGGACTCATGATGCTACTGTAGTGCAGTGGGGAGCAGATGGCCACATAGCGGTCATAGGCCATAGCCACAAGGAGGAAGCTCTCCAAGTCTCCAAACAACAAGAAGAAGTACATTTGGGCCAGGCATCCTGCATAAGGGATGGATGGAACTTGGCTCTGCATGTTCTTCAGCAACTTGGGCATTGTGACAGAGGAAAAGCAGAGGTCAGAGAAGGACAAGTTACTGAGAAAAGAATACATGGGCGTGTGGAGATGAGAGTCCAGTTGTATGAGGATGATGATGGTGAGGTTCCCCAGGATGGTGGTAAGATACATGGCAAGGAATAAGGCATAGATCAGGTGTTCATACTCGGGCTGGATGGGCAGACCCAGGAGGAGGAACTGTGAGAGGAGAGTTTGATTGCTTCCTTTCATGCTCTGTCTCCAGCATCTTTAAGAGAAAATAATAGGGTCCCTTAAAATCCAAATAAACGTATTTCTACGATACTTGGTCTGCTAAGAGACTATGCAATAATTGATCTCACCTTCTATATCTGAAACAATCTCTGCAATCCAAAATATGCCACATAATTAAATCTGAGACACCTCTCAGACTCAATTTCATCTCATTACATTACAGAATTGACCATTCCTTCTCTTTCTACCCACTGTCATGGGTTGGCTTCTGTGTGATCATACTGATGTCTGAAATTTCTATGGTTATTTCATTCTCAATGTTGTAATTTTTCTCCTCTAACAATTTATCATATATCACTTTTTGGGGGGCTTTGTACAAAACACTATTCCCTTATGATTCCACAGATATAGCACTGAGATATCTTACCTATTCCTATGGCATCAATTACCATCCAGACCTCCTGTGTAAACCTATCACCTTCAGTACTCCATTACCACCTGCTTACTGATTATCTCTCCATGGACATGTCAAAACCATTTTCATCTTAACAGATACTAAATGAAATCATGACTCACTCTGCCCTTCTGCCAATCCAGTCCTGCAGTCTCTCAAATCTCAATGAAAGGAGTCTAAGCTCAAATCAAACACCTGAGAGTTTTCTTTCACCTGTTCATTTCCCTCTCCATTAACATCTAATTCAACAAGTCTGATAATTTCTCAACTTCTTTCTAAATCATCCACTTATCTGAATTGCCACAGTCTGGCTCAGGCTGACCTAACTTGTCTGGACTATTAGAATAGCCTATTATTTCATCTCTCTTGTTTGCATACTTGCTTTGTTTCAATGTCTTCAAGACTCTGGAAATGTAAAATGAATGTTAGATCCGATCATCACTGACCTGCTGAAATTTCATGGCTGCTTATTGTTCCTAAGGTAATGGTAAAATTCTTTTAAAGATATAAAAGGGAAAAAAAGATGTCTCATGATCTGTCTTTTGTCTACCTCTACAGTCTCATGTGGACCAGTAACTCATCCCTTATGTAGCAATGTTCGACTCATAAGTCATTTCTTGACACCAAGCTTTCACATTTTCTGTTGCTCCTGCTTGACCTCATCTTCCCTTTGCTCCCTCTTCATCTCACCTACCCCTCCTTTGGGTATATCACATGTCATTTGTATTCAGCTAAACTTAGGGATCCCTGTAAGACCAGCTGCTGTGTTTCCACAGCATCATGTGCTCATCTCATAGCTCTCAATGCCCTTGATCACCTATTTACACATAACTTTCATGTCCATTCGAGAAAGGTGATGCCTGTCTTCATGACTACAAATACATGGCATAGTGCCTGACTGTGGTCAGTATTTCATGAATATTTGTTTGCCATCCTCCAGGCTGAGACATCTCCAGTGTAATTTTTTTTTTGTGTGGGGGGGGTATTGGGGTATTGACCAGGAATTGAACTTAGGACCTTGTGCTTGCCAGGTAGGTGCTTGTGCAACTGAGCTATATCCCCGGTCCAATCCAACATAATTTAAATGAGCAAAATCCCATTTAGATTAGAATCACTATTCCTACTAAATCCTTTCAGGACTCACTGCCTTGAACCACATCACACCAATTCTTTTTTTTTTTTTTTTTTTTGGTACCGGGAATTGAACTTACAACGTCACACTTGCAAGGCAGGCACTGTGCTGCTGAGCTAAATCCCCAGCCCCACATCACACCAATTCTTGAAACACTGTTACAAAATTCCTGGCTATAACTTCATTTATAGAACCACCCAACTCTTCATCCTAAACCACCAGAAAATCTGGTGTGTATGTGACCACATTAACATTTTGCTCCTTATGTTTATATCTATATGATTCATTGATACTAGTATGAAAAATACTAATCTGATAAAAAAAAAAAGGTTCCAAAATTTAGGGAGAGACAAAAAATAATTTCTACCTTTGAGACATCATTCCAGTTTGTCTGCAGATATCCATACTTAAAGATACCTCACAGCTAAGAAAGCTAAAGGCTATGAAGGCACGTGAGAAGTTCTTCTCATAAAGAAACATAATTCAGTCCAGTTGCCAGAATTTTCTCCCTGCTGATGTTGTTTTAATCTACCCACACTGAAATTTTTTCTTGTATATCACGTTTATTTGCTGCAATTAGGAAAATCATCAATGAAATTATATATACCTGATTTCTCAGAATGTTGCTTCCCTGGGAAATGACTGGGGCTCATCTAGGGTATTAATAGGAATCACAAACCACAGACACATCACTTGCACATGGTACCCTGATCAGGCCCATGGGTTTCAGTGCTCCTGTGCATGGTGCTTCTCACCATCCTCACCTCTTACTCTGTAGTTCTGTCTGAACTGCACACAGAAATCACAAAGGGCAAAGCTTCCAAAACAATTTACGTACAAAGTACGTGGTTACTCTGTTAAATGCTGATTTTGATTTAGTAGCTCCGGTGTGGGACCTAAAATTCTACACTTTAAAAGTTCAATATTTATATTTGGTAATATTAACTCTGCTGGTGTGTGAGTCACACTTTGAGTAGTAAGACCATATTTTTAAAGTATGGATTTCTGGGGCTGGGGATTTAGCTCAGCGGCAAAGCGCCTGCCTGGCAAGCGCAAGGTCGTGAGTTCCGTTCCTGGTACCGGAGAAAAACCAAAAAAAAATAATAATAATAAATAAAAAAAAATAATAAAGTATGGATTTCTATGCCATTGCCAATAAAGGTGATTAGAATCTCTTCAAGGAAGCCTTTCTGCAGCATTTTGAAGCCCCCTAAGTAATTCAATTATATATTCAAAGAACCTCTGGATTAAATGGCTAGTTTCACAGAGATATCATTTTGAAATGATATGCTCTTGGGAGAATTCATTGCATACTAAAAACAAATGTTATCATTAATAAAAGATTATAAGTGATGAATGTTAATAAATATTTCTACAACATGTAAATGTATTGGGAGACAGACAGAAAGAGAAGAGGAAAGTTCTCATATCTGAAAAGTATCCTTCGGGACATCATAAAGCCGAAGAATCAAGACCCAGAGGTTAGAAGGACTCTAAGGCACTATGTTATTCACCTTCCTACAAACTTACCCAGACTAACTCCAGGGTCTTAATCCAAAATCCTGTTCTCCTTTATGCATTGTAGACATAGAAAGTAGAAGGCTCTGCAGTCATCAACTATGACTGCATCAACCTGCTCATATTTCTCATTCTGCTCATCCTGGGCCTAAGGAACTTGGCATCTCGAGGGAGTCCAGATCCTGCAAGATCTCATTAAAGATGAAAAAATTATCCAAGACCTCCCTAGGGCAAATTCAGAGTCTGTTGAGCTGAGTGATTACTGATCACATCAGACTATACTTTGAGAAAAAGTGGGGATAAAGCTAACTCATGGATGGATGCTTATTCATTGCCTGTGTAGGGAATGGACAGAGTCCTGTGTGGCTGAAGCCTGCATTTTAGGAAGTGAAGAATGGTTGGATAAACCATGAATGTAACCAGGGACTACACTGTGAAGGCTCTAAAATATCTTAAAAGTGTAAGAGACTTTATCCTGTGTACAAGAAGCCATAGGGGGTCTTCTGAATAGAGTACCACCACAAGAGACACATATTTTGGAAATAATCCAAGAGTGGCAGACTTTCTACAACCCAACTCTCCCTGAACACACCTAGTAGAAGAGATAAACCTGTCACATATAAGGATCAGAGTTCTATGATTCAACCATATGCAGATAGAGAAGGGAGACAGGAATAAGAGAAAAGCTGGACTCTCCCAGGTCATGTTTAATTCTTCCTCAGGTCAAAATAGACAATGCAGACTTTCATACTACTGAATTACTGCTAGCTCCTTATTTCTCTAGGAAAATCTTAACAGCATCCACCACCATCTTCCCAACCGGTTTCCTTATATATCAGATTACATCCTACTGCCAAGGGCAATTGAGCATGGAGTTTAATTTCCATTTATAATTCCTTCTGTATCTATATTCTCTTTTTCATCGCTTCAACTAAATTTAAACTTCATTCCTCGGAAATCTAAATCTTCATGTTATCTCCTTTATTTGGGTTACTGTGTCTATTAATGTGACACTCAAAAAAAATCTCTTGTGTATCAGATGTGGTCTTTTCTGTCTTTGTTGTGTAAAGAAAGGCAAATTTCCACTGTTAACAGGAATTGAATTACCTCAGGCAGTATAGTAGCCTTATTTGTTGGTTCAGTGACATAAACTGCTGCTTGGCAGTTTCAACTTCCAGTAGAATGGAACCACTGAAGCATTCCCAGCGGAAGCATTCCTTCCTTGGGAGTTGTACAAGCCACTTCTTGCATTCCACTTCAGTTCTCTCAGCGATCATCGCTCATTCTAGACACAGTGCAGCAAACAGTTCTGTACAGACTTCAACCAGCCTTCTGCAGATGTTGTCTGACAGCACTCCCTCAGGACTGCTCCACTTGTGCTTTGTGTCCTGCCACTGGGTTACTCTGATTCCATGTAGAGAATACAGTGGAAAACCAGCTGAGACTCATATATACAGAATCTAAAAGTGAACCGGAGTTAATGCCGTATAGGTCAACCCTTATAATATAGAGGTGATGAGTGTTGATGGGTAGATAATTCTCTATAGAGCCCTTCCTAGTCCTCCTCACAGCCCAAGAAGTTTATATTTGTAATCCCATGAAAAATTATTGGAATTCTAGTGAGTCAATTCCAATCTACTACATCCAGTGCAACCCATGGTGAGAATAAAGACACTAAGACATATCCGTAGTTATGGGGAGCCAAGGGGCCCTAACTTCAGCCATGATGATGGCTATCTGGAACAAAGGCCCATACCCAGAACCAAACCCAGATTTTATTCATTTGTGGAGGGAGTGGCTTGAGGATGAGTGACTGTGAGAGTGGTGGTGGGAAATACATGAGTGCCATGAGCTGGGCTAGGTAGGAGGTCTGAAATCACCTCTGCCAAATGCAGAGAGGATATGCAGAAAGAG